AATGTCAACAGTCCAATTCTCTTCCTTGTTATCTGAATTAAGGTTTAATGTGCCAACATAAAATTCCAAATCTTCCTCAGAGTCTCTCTTTTTTGTATACCTTGACTGCTTCATTTTTTATTATATAGCTTTTACACTGATTCGTGAAATGATTTGCCTTTTTACATTTATGACAGATTTTTCCATACACTGGACACATACGATACTCATGAGATGTTCCACATTTAGAACAAAATTTTGTCTTTTGTTTATCGGTATTGTCCTCTTTGTAGGTATTCTTATTATGTTTACTTAGTTTCTTTTTCACTAAGTTTACAGCAGTTTCCTCATCTTTTATGATTTTTCATTTGATGTGCACTTATTTCAGCAGATCTGCATATATCAAGAGCTTTTTCTAATGTTAATTCTGTTTCATGTAACAATCTTGCTCTCACTACATCATCTTTAATATCACAAACAATTTTATCCTTTATTAAACTATCTGTTAATTGTGCAAACTTGCATGTTCTAGCTTTATTTCAAAGGTCAGTTACGTATTCATCTATGGTTTCTGACGCGGTTTGATTTCTAGTAAAGAATAAATGACTTTCATATGTAATATTTTTCTTAGGAATACAATACTTTCCATTTTAAAAGCAAAATTTTCCTGACACCATATTTATTATGAGGGTACACTTTTAGCTTTTAGAAACTATTTATTTACAATCTTAGAATGTATAATCACAGAGAACTGCAATACCAGCATAGTTCTATTTTCATATCTGTATCCAAAGTGTTGGCAATTACAAGTTACTAAATATTAAATGTTACGATTTACAAATTATTAAATATTACAACCTTGACAGTTCATCTCTTGCAGTCATAGATGAAGCATCAAATTCACCTCACTCCCAGCATTCAACAGTTGCTGGTTTTCCTATGAACTAGCAAGTGTATTACTAATGAGGTTACCAACCTGTAATTACGTTGATTACATCAAGCAACTCACATCTAATATTTTTGTTATGTGTATATACACTTAACTAATATATGTTTTAAAACTAATTAAAATAGTGGATGTAAAATGTTTATATCATCTTCATCCTTGCATTAATACATCAAGATGATATTATAATGTCTCTACTATGGTTAAGCAGTGCTAAACATATATAGTTAAGCATTCCCACTGCTGAAACTTGGCCTGACAAGGTAAGGGAGAGCAACAAGCTTAAAAATTTCAATGACATAGTGGATAGCTATGGAGTGTAGAGACATTAGGATTTTTTGGAAGCAAGAGAGATGAAAAATTAGCAATTGCCTTCGCCGGGAATCGAAACACGGACCTCTGGGATACCGGCCTAGCATGCAGAAACACTACACCCCGAAGGCTTGCGAAGAAAGTGGAAGAAATACATTACATACTCCCCCTTTTAAAGGGTGACTGGGGTTTTCAGGGGACCCAATCGTCAAATCCTGGGTGAGGAGAAATCAACATCCACCACCCCTTTAGTTCGGGTGCCACTGTAGAGACATTAGGTTAATTGGAAAAGCCGGAGAGATGAAAAATTAGCAACCACCTTCGCCAGGAATCGAACCACGGATCTCTGGAATACCGGCCCAGCGTGCAGAATCACTACACCACGAAGGCAGACTAGGAAGGCAGGAGAACTACCTTACAGGAATATGCTCGCAATGTGCATTAAATAGGTGCACAAGTTAAATAAAAAAAAAAAGTCAAAACCAGAACTCTAGGCAACTAATCAGTATAGTAGTGCATACTATAAGGATAATGTCTTATCACAATGCTGCTAGACTTGGATAAACCTTTGTGGCAGGATAACCTCAATCAATATTCATTTGAAAAACTACTATTTTATCCATAAGCTGACATTGAGTGCATCATTGTAGCTGTATTCACCTGTAGCTTAGAGTCAATGGTACAGACTCTTCTTGTATTAGGGGTCTTAACGTTACTATATGATCTGCCACTGCCAAGTGGCACAACGTGCCTGTCACTCATTTGTGCAATCATTTCTGTTGATAAGTCCATTCATTCCACGTCCACCAATTTCATCTAAGATGAACGAGTACTTAGAATACTATTAAAAAGATTACTGGTGCACATTGCACATTATTAGCATGTCCCATCAAGGTCACATGATGGTGTGAACTTTAAATCTATTGGATGCTTCTTTATGATGTTGCATTTTGGATGGATTCATAATATATATATATAATTACACAGAATTTGAGACCTTGTATGAGGAGCAATATAAACATAAAACTGCAATTATTCAGATTCACTTTGAAATACGTGAAATTAAGTCCAAATTCATATGCTCTCACTAATGAAAATAAATATACATAAATGACATTCAATATGGCTACATTTATCCTACTGACAGTAAAACAAAATCAAAATTTACTTATATCTATGATATATACACAAAGTGGCTAAAATATTAGACAAACCTATTTTTTTTAAATAGACCAATATGCCAGTGACTCACAGCGATAAAAAAAAAAATCAAAATCACTTTCCATAAGGCGTTTCTTGTCTTCAGAAGAAATAGTAACTATTAAAGTTCATGTAAATAGGTAAAAAGGCAAATTTGAATGACTTCACACAAGGCATGACTATGGGTGCAAGACTGCTGCAACATCTTTGAAACAAGTAATGTTTTGGGCTTTTCATATGGTACAGTATCTCGGGTGTTCTGAAAATGCCAGTTGAGCAGCCAAAAACAAAGGGCACTAACAAAAATTTCAGGCTGGAAAATGCTTGTGAAAGTTGGTTGACACAAACCATCCACAGTAATGGAATGGAAGAGAAGGGATTTAATAGCAGAAAAGCATCAAAGATGCCTATGGTATCTTTCATAAACAGGATATTAGTGTTACTGTAGGCCCAAAAGCACTGAAACTCGACCTCTGACAAATGAAAATAAAGTTGCCTGGTCCAATGAACTTCATTTACTGCTCCAGAATGCAAATGATTCAAACTTCTCTTCCCTAATAAAACTTTCCATGCAAAAAAGTTACGAAACTATGGACTGGGGAATATTTATGAAGTGCAGTGGGTACCTCAATATACCAGGAAACAGCTCCGCACAACATATTTTAATATCTTTGCACTAAGTCATTTTCAACAGAATAATGTTCCTGTAACCATGCATGATTGATCTCAAATTAGCTTGATAAACATGCTTTGGAGTTAAGATTACTTCTATAAGCTCAGCCTTATTCAGCATTTTAGGACAAATGGAAATATCAATTCAAAGCTTGGAAATGTCATAATACAATTGGAATGAAATTACAGCTACCATTATATTAGCATGGGGTTATATTCTTTAGGAATGATAAGCATGTGTTGTGTACATGACTAGAAGAATATCATGTAATCAAAGCTAAAGGTGGAGCAATGTGTTATCAGGCAGGATGTCTAATATTTTGGCCTTCCTTATCACTATCATATTACTAACTTAAAAGAATACAATACTAACTTAAATTACATACACACTGCCCAACATAGAAAATGCACCATAAAAGATTGAGTAGAATGTGATGTCAATTGACATGCAGACAGAGCATGCATATGTAAATAAATGATGTTATTTATAGAAATATAAATTTATACAGTGGTGAAATTTACATGGAATCAGCAAGATGTATGACTATCTCTCGCAGCGATCCAAGCTGCAACCCTACGATGTACAGATTCAATTAATTTATGGACAATGCTCTGAGAGATGGAAGCCCATATGCTCTGAACTCTCTTCCAAAGTTCGGAAGGATAATAATGGTTGGGGCAGAGAAGACAAGCAACAACCAATCGCATCCCAAATATGCTCGATCAGCAAAAGGTTAGGGGACATTGCAGGCGAAGGAAGCAATGGAAAATGCTGTAAGGCTTTTGAATAACAAATGACATGTATGCTGTTGCACTGTCCTGCCGCAAAATACCATTTTACAACCTCTGAAGGTAAAGTAGCATGACCAGTTGTAGTACCTTATCAACGCCTCATCATGCCTTCAAAGGTTACTGCTATAATGACTCATGGCACCCCAAACCATTATGCCATGTTTACAAGTGGTGTGGTGTTTAGTAATAGTAATTGGATATGCTCCTTATCCCCAATGTCTTCAGACTCTTAACCAGTTTCTATTATCAAACAATACCAAGACTTGTCATTGAATACAACAAAGTGCCATTCAAATGTCCAAATGTATCGTCGAGGACACCATTGCAGTCTTTTGCATTAATGATTTGATGTTAATGGTAGCATTCGCAAAGGACTGCTTGTGTGCAAGGGGCTTTCACCCCAAAGTCTGGAAACTATTCTCCCAGACACTGAGACATCCAAAGCTCCCAGCATATTTTCCAAAATGACCTAGTAGTCGATTGTGGGGGCCACCACAGCTTCTCTTAATATGTGTCAATCTGTGTGCTCTGTAGTATGATTAGATGAACCTGGTCTTTTGCGACTATTTACATTTCCTTCACTGATCCATCTTGAACAAATTCTACGCACAGTGGACACATATACTTGCATTTTAGCAGCTACACAACAGTAAGAACTACCAGCTGTTTGTAAGCCTACAATTAGACCCCTTGTAAAATTGTCCATTTGATGGAACTGCCTACAGTGTCAGCGACTTTGTTCATAAATCTCTTCTGGAACACTGAATATCTTTTGAATTTTTTCACACTTCTGGAACACTGAACAAATTCTGGATTTCCCAAGCAGCAGAGTAGTGACTGTTGGTTTGTCCGGCATTTCCTTCCTTTCATCTTGCGCTATAATCACGTGACCAACTTGCATCTTACATCATCTGCATGACTTGTTCTGCTATGTACTCCTGAAATTTGGATATTTATGTCATGGAATATTTATGGTGTTGCATTTCCCATGTCAAGTAGTGTATTAAAAAGATGTTCATCTACATGATAAAACTATAAAATTTAAAATATGTAATATAAGCCTATAATAAATATATTTTTCCAGCTAAATAATACTTACTTTATTTATTTTTTCTTTAGAATGGTTAAGCAATGCAGGGAAGTGAGATAATGCATCACAGTTCAAAACTACTTGTGTCTGCTCATCAGTACCAGTGACAATATTCCCAACTGCACGAAGTGCAGCAGTCTAAAAACATCAGAATATTATAAGCAATCAGGGAAAGGAGAAAAGTACAAAAACTTTATTATAACATGAGAAAAACTAAGCGAAAATAAAAAATAAAAAAATAAAATAAAATAAATAAATAAATAAAAACAACAAACCTGAACTTTAACTTCCTTGTGACTTAATAAAGGAACTAGCTGAGGCACAACCAGGGAGTCTATCACCATCTGAATAACAATGACAAAAATAAATATAAAATAATTTTTTTTACACAAAAAAGTTGCTATAATTTTAAAATTACACAAACAAGGAGGGGATTAGAGCTGGAAAGTATGTGGTCAAATTGCAACACAACAGCACTGGCATTGAACACATACTTGTAGCACGTTGTTGTTATGTTCTTAGCCTGCTCATGCACACTGGTAATATCATATAGTAGTGTAAATGAATAAGTTAAAAACCAATGTTGAGATCAAATGTAGGGCAATTAGTAAATTGGAGGCACACTACAAAGAGCTTGATACAATGTTGTGTTCAAGTTCTGGAAACAGTCTGAGAAGCTTGGATTCATATCTGCAATGCCCGAGCCATAACACCCAATGAAAATCAATATTTATCATTTTCAACCAGAGGTCCAAAGACAGCTATGCCACAAAGTTCTCTCATGAGAGCTCTCTTCTACAAATGAAACCTCAGCTTCAGGGATTATTGTGTTAGGCTTCATTGTGGATCATTTTGGTTTGTGTTATCATGGTCTGAGACAGCATCATACTACTCAGTGTGTTTGAAAGATTCTACTCGATTTTTCAGAGGTAGACAAGATCCTAAAAGAGTTCTTTGCATGACTTTCCTGAAACAGTTAGCTCAAAGATTTTTTTTACGGATGAAATTGCTCATCTAATTAAGGCTCAAATAATGGACAAATAATTTAGGTTAAAATAACACACTGAACGAATATTAATTTGGAAGTCAAACAACAAAAATCAACATTATATTTAGAAATTTCAAATATAATGCTGATATTTGTTGTTCGACTTTTAAATTAATGGACAAATATTTCAAATGCGAAGATATTTGGCAGATAGATAAGCAACACAAAACTCCAAATCTAAACACAAATGAACTTTGGAATGCATTTGGAAGTGAGCAATTGCCTACTGCTTCTGACTACCATAAAAAACTAACACTTGTTTTAATTCCTTATTAAATGTAATATTTCATCTCGATGTACTCTGTCTTTGATATGATTTAAATCAAATTCTTCGTCATTATAAATATCACGAATACAAATCAAATAGTTTTCTGGTTGCAATTTTCTAATTTCGGCTATGTGTAATGTATGCTTTACGCATGCGCGCGTTGAAAGAAATGTTTAATAAAGTAAACAAATAAATATTAAGCTTTTTTTTGGGTAAATTTTGATACCCTTTAGATCATAATTGCTCTTTATTTCATAAATTATGGTTTCATATTTTTAATTTTATAATTTCTGCAAGCCATCTTACCAGGTTTAAACCGATGATCTATAATCCAGAATCGCCGAAGTCCCGACGACTCCAGATTAAAGACTTTTGATTGTATGAATTTATCCAATTTTCATGAAAGATTTCGGATTGGTCTTACAGAACATCAGTTAAGGTGAAAATAATAAAATTACTAAATTTAGGCATTAAAACCTTACCAAATCTGTTATACAAATAAATAACGTTCCTGCTTTCACAGTAAATTATGCTTTATAGCTATTCTGCAAGCTGGGCCTAATACACCGTCTGATTCATAGAGGCAAGAATAAAAAGAGACGCCATTCCCCACTTCGCTTGACACAATGCTGAGCTTTGGACTCCAGAAAGCAGGTATGTTTTCTTTACATCAAGAGAACGTTGGCAGTGGTTTGGTAGTACTTCCACCCATGACAGTTATACACAAATCAAAAGCAGGGACACATATACATAAAAAAGTTCATTGTTGGATGGGTAATAGGAATCTGTATAGTTCAGCGGCATTGAAAGCCGACCCTTGAGTGTGTTTAAAAATAATGCATAGACTCCAACCTTCAGCAAACCTTGTCAGTAGTCAACGCGCGAACGACATTTTTACAACTTTGAAAATGTGCGCGTAGCGTATGTTGTAATTAACCATTCATTAATTTTAAATTAATAATTAATTGTAATCAATTTTATTACATTTAAAATCCATATACATATAAAACTGAATAATTAAAAATATACCTTGTAAATTAAATGCACATTTAATTAGAAATTTTCTTTTAACTCCTCAAGCATTCACTAATAAAAAGTACTTCAAATCACTACTAATCATAGAAAAAATCAAAGCTATAAATCATATCTTTATTCTGGATATGATTTCTACAGGGAAATAAAATTTAAATAACCAAGAATGATACATATAAGTATTAAACAAAATACGCATAATTTATGAATGCAAAGATTTATATGTAGCATGCTTAGCAAGCTTAAGTTCTGATTTTGAGAACTTTTTTTATAACACAGTTCTTCATTTGCCTGCATATTTATTTTTTCAATCAAAACTGCTTCAAGAGTTTTAAGACCTAAATTTGGTCGAAATTCCGTCTGATTTTTTTTTAACAATAGAAAAAATTCTTTCGCAAGCTGCATTTGAATGAGGTATTATTAAGACAGCAAGCATTATAGAAGGCAATACTTTGTATTTAATACACCCATTCATATTTAATTTGGCAATTTCTCCCCATGCTATATCAATACGCAAATCTACAATTTCTTTCAAATCATCTACTTGATACATGGAAAATTCAATTTCTACTTGATTAAGACATTTTTCATCAATAATGGATGGAAAAGTATTCATCAAGTAAAGAACAGATGAAAATGAGACTTCAGTTCTCAAGTTGATGTCAGCAACTTCAGCATGTTTTAGAAATGGATCTCTCAGTGGAAATTTATCAATTATATATGAACATGCAGTTACAAAAAAAGAATTGAAAAATGATTTCACTTCACTTTCATTCAACTTGGCATTTTTTAAATATAGTCTTGTTTCCGCACCAATCATTAAATTTTCATTTTCTTTTTGTTTACTATACTTCTGAAATGGAATAGACGTTAGAGTAACATCTTCATTTTCTTTAGAAATTACTGATGGTTTTACGAATCTAACAAATAAATACATTAAAAGTTCAAAAAGTTCTCAATTTATGTATATAAGGAGCTTGTTGTTGCAAATTAATATTTACTGTTATAAACAAAGGCAAAGTATTTTTCAAAAATAACAAGTACAATTTGGTGGTCGGTGACTGTAAAACTTTTTTAATGTTTTGCAATCTCTTTCCTTCATTCTCACTGTTATCTGGTTTATCTCCAAAAAAATTTATCACAGCATCCCACTGTTCCAAAATCCTTGTTATAGATTCTAAAAGAGACAACCATCTCGTACTGCAATATTTCAAAATTTTATGAGATTTTGCATTCTGTCCCAAAATTTGTTGAGCAACTTTGAAGCTATGCTTCCGTTTTGAACTTTTCTCCAAGTAAAAATATATATCTATTATCAACATTTCAATTTCTGAGCCAATTAATTTTTCAGTAGCTTTTTTTGCAGCTATATGCAAAAGGTGGCACGGACAACCTCGGGTGATTATACTTGGTTGATGCATTTTGATAAATGATGCTACACCTTTAAACTTTCCAATCATATTACTAGCCATTATCTGAAGAAAATGATAAGCAATTTTTCCATTCTAAACCTTTGTTTTTAAAGTTTTCATTTATACAATTAAAAATACCTTCTCCTGTATTATTCGTGCATTCTAAAATAGAAATCAATGAAGTAATTATCACTCCCTTTTCTTTACTGTAGTATGTTATAACCAATGGGTACAGTTTGTTATCATTACTTCCATCAGTACTTAGAGAAAATGATGTACTGCACACTGATTTTATAATATCAGCAACAGTATTTTCTGCAAGCGTTTTCACAATAGCAGCAGTTTTGGTACGACCGCAGCTAAATTTTTTTGCTATGGCAGAATGCGGAAACATTGCTTTGAAAAGCTCTTTGGAATGATCCGAAACAGAAAGCGGTAGATTATGTTCAATTAAAAAACGAACAAATATCATTCGGTTAGGATCATCATCTTTTATTAACAAATTTGTTATTCTTTAGATTTATTTTACAAGTTGTGTTTTCTTATGGCTTTTATTTTTGCCAAGAATTTCTATATGCTTTGAGAAAACATATGCCGTTTACAGTCATCTTTTCTGCCATGAGCAATTGAGAAGTCTTTGTTGCATACACTGCAGTGTGCGTGATTCACAGAAATTTCGGACGCTTTAATGCATGGAAATTCTGAAGAATATGAATCTTTAAACTTCTGCTTTGATAATTTTGGCTTCTTCGTTCGAGGCAGCATTATGATTAAAAATCTTTCACCTGATTCACAGTTCACAAGACACACGCTAAGCTCTCGCCGTAAACTACACAATGCAGCCGAATGCAGCCTAAACACGCATCAGCGAGGAACCTGGGAGACAGACAATTGGGTGGAACTATTGATAAGTCGTTAACGGTTGGAATTACTGATCTACGATTGGCTAATTCTTCAAAACTAGGAACGCACTCAACACGTGATATATGATAACACGAGTATTCAGCCAATCATCGGATGAATTAGTTGGTTCCGTTTTGCGTACTGGTTCTCCTGCTCGTTTCTGTAAAATCCGTAGTTTCTTCCATACTTTTCGTAGCTCGTAGTTTTTCATGAATTTCCGTAGAAACTACGGAGAATCCGTAGTAGTTGGAGTCTATGATAATGCATGTAATTCTTCATTCAATTTATATTTATACATATTTCTTATGTATAATATACGTATATTACTGATATGTTTATATCACACGAGTAATTCAAATTAAACTGTGCTCTGCTTTGAGATGTCATAGATTTAAGTTTTAATTCTCAGAAGTAATTACTTTTAACGATTTTTCATTTGCTGACAGATTACGACAATTCTTCACTCACTGGCAGAGATGCATATCAAAGCACCAAAATGAGTTTAATTTCAACATATGTTGTCATTTCTATTTACAACCAATATCTCAAAAGTAATTTCACATTGACAAATTTTAGGTATCCAAGTCTTCAAATACAACAAAATTATAAACATTCATACCTTATTTAGGAATTTCTACCAGAGAAATAGCATGAATTTAATTATCAAAATTCCATTCAAATGATACTAATAAAGAGTGGATAATAATAATAACAAATACTATTCATTAAATTAGAATCCATCTTATGAATTATATGGGCTATTCAGTTTCATTAAAAGTAAATTCCTTTCATGGAGAATGTAATTAAAAAACAGAGATAACCAGGAGACAAAACTGTCTAGACTGTTGACTGTTTTTTTAAGGATATTTCATCACATTTTTTTCTTCTTGGACTTCATAAGAGCATTTTCTCAAAAGATTATTTTTTTATTACTTATACAAAGCTTACAGCATTCAATTGACTATTGTCACTATTCTTAAATAAGTGTAAATAATTTTTTCTTTTTTTTTAAAGTAATATTTTTACTGTTCCCCCCCTAAAAAAAAACAGCAGACTTTTGATATTCATTTGATGTTTTAGTAAAAAATATTTCATCAAGTTTGTTTGGAAAGAAAATCAGCATTTGAAGCAAACAGCAATACAATATTTCCAGCTTTTTCAATAAATTTATTCTTAAATACAAAAATAAATAACAGGAAGAAAATGATAGTAATAATTTATACAAAAATAATAAACAGAAAGAAAGTAATAATAATAATTTACACAGAAAAAATAAAATTTTTGCAAGTATGCATTTTTTGAAGAATTTTTCATAATAAAATGAAAAATAATGGATGAGATCAATCATATACAGGATCATACACTGTGTGCATGATCCTGAGCTTAATTTTCGCTTTACGAGTTTCATCCACATTTTTCAATTTTATTGTGCAAACTCGTTAGAAAATGCATGTCATCATCGCAGATATCTTGAGAGATCAACTCATTATTTCGTTCGCGTACAATTACAACTCATTCGAATAAGATGTGCTCCATATTAAAAAAAAAGTCGCCTTTTATGTAACAGTGAAATCGTCTGCAGAAAGCCACTTCATTTTAGCTTCGCTCTGATTGGTCAGCATTTATCCCAAACTCGTCGTAAAGTTGAAAACTTAGAACCTTACGCCGCGAGCCCTAAACAAGTTTTTGTGATGTAGCACACAGACTGGTTGCCTTGGCAATGGAGCTCGGCTTTAACCACTTATGCCCTTTATGCCCCCGTCTGAATGCAACCTGTGGTGGCTATGTGCTACTAGATGAGATAGCTTACAATGCCACCTAGTGAAAAAAGGCAGAGTTAGCGTCTGTATCTTGAAAACTATACGAGATAGGAACAAAATGTGAATTACAAAGCTGTAGAGCATTATTGATTTAGTATGAAGACACACCTTGCAGACATGAACGAATGTTTTAAATGTGCATTTGTTTGCTCACGATTTCATACGCTGTGAAGTCATGAAACGATCTTAGAAAGAAAAAAACAACTTGTTATCACAAGCTACTTTTATTTTTGATGTTCAAACTTCTCTCTGCCAGTTGAAATGCACATCTGGACCCCCGACAGAACTTCATTTTGCACGTGAGTGAGTGACAAGTTTGCACATGCATCTCTCATATGTCGCTAAAGGTCCTGCAATGTATGTAAAAGGGTTGCATATACCTGTTGTTTGAGGTATCCCCACAGAAAAAAGGTCAAGTGAACTTGAAGGCACCACTTTTCAGACCCACCATACCCGATTATTCATTCTCTGAATTCCTCCATCAGGTACTGGCTTTACATGTGACATCTTGTGTGCAGATGCACCATCATGTTTTTTTAATTACCCATTCTCAACAAAAAGTTCTCAACAAAAACGGGTGTTATATCTTGCAGAAGTTCTAAATATTGTGCGGCCTTTAATGTACCATGATAAAATATTGTCCGACTAGCCCATTATAAATTCTACACCAAACATTAATTAAAAACTATGTTTGATGTCGAATGTCGGCAGAACATGATGGATTTTCCAGTGCCCAGTTATCGTGTTCTGCCTATTCCGCATTTCATTCCACAAAAAGCATGCCTTATCTGTCCAAATTATATCTGGTAAGAATGTTGGCTAGACCTCTATCTGGTTCAGGACGAAGTTCACTTGTAATTCAGTCCTCCTGACTGAATTACAAGTGATACGACTGTGATGCCACTGGGCTTGTTTTCCATCCTAAGAATAATTTTTTCTCCTTTCATTCAAGTTTCATGACGCCACAGTTTCAGAAACTGCGAAGACACAAATGTGCATTTTCAGTGTTCTGTTTTTAGTGTTCATATCCGTAAGGTGTCTTTTCATCAACTGTAGAGAATTGTCATACTAAATTGACAATTCTCTACAACTTTGTAATTTACTTTTTCTTCCTATCTTGTATCGTTTTCAAGATAGGGATACTAACTCCATCGTTTTTCACCAGGTGACATTGTATGCTATCTCATCTAGTAGACCATAGTTACTTTACTATACATAGACACCACTTTTATGACTACAGCTGCAGTCGTTTGGTAGTTAAACGGGTGGTACTGGACTTTAGTGGACACCCTGTATAACAATTTTCACATTTAATTGTAAACATAAATAGAAATTCTGTTGATTAGATACAGGATATTTATAAAACTGTTTATGCAAGATTTTTTTGTACTGGAAAACAATCCATTAAAAGGGTATTGTAAAGCCCAGTCTATGATATATGTACTTAAGGAAGTATTAAAGTAGAATTTTTGGAGTATTTATTGTTGAAATTAAGGGGAAAATAATTTTACTACATATTAAAAGAATTATTCCTTTACATTTTATAACTCAGTTACAAGTTCTAAATATTAAAAATAAAAAAGCACCTTCTTTTTATTAATCTCTTTGAGAAATATTCATAGAAAATACAAGGAAATCAGCAGTAATATTTAACATATTTCACTATTAAAATTAAAGGTACTCTACTTTGACATGAACTGAACAGAACATTAACTATAAAGTGACTCTAGTTTTTCATTTAAAAGATTGCTCAGAAGCTAAAATAAACAAGGTAAATAATGCAATAAACTCTGATTTTAATTTCTATAATTGTTAACCGAATGAAATCGAATTACCTTAAAATTTCTTTTTAATATAACTAACAATAACTTGCAAAAACATTTCATTCAAAGTAAAACTCTTCTGGGAAAAGTACAGCATTTAATTCGGTTCAGAGTGAATTTTTTTTTTTTAAATATTCTTTCATATACTTAGAACTTATATATTGTAGAAAAAGAAAATATACACATTTATACATATATTTACGATGTAACTGCAAAATGTTTATCTCCAATCAGATGATTACAATGATCTGAATGGCAAGTGAGTGAAATCTTTAGTCTCCACAAGGAGTCCACCACTGTTTCAAGCTAGTGCATGGGAAAAACTAGTTCAGGCTTTTCCTCTTACTTCCTACCTCCAAAGTCTGAATAAAACTTATTTTGCATGCTAGTATTCATGACACTTCTCACTGTTACGTGCACTTTCTATGCTTTGATCCTTGAAATATTCTTAGGATAATTTGATTAATACAACAAATACATTTACACATATATTAGATATAAAACTGTAGAAAGTATATCAAAATTCCATAATTAACTTCTAAACGTTAAAAGAACATTTTATTTTAAAATGTATGCAACATAAAATTTACGAAGAAAAGAGTGGAAGAGATAGGAAAGATTTTAAGTACCTGAATTTGGTCATTCCCACCATCTGTTAAATATGATAAAGCCCACACAGTATCAACTAGAATCTAAAGGGGGTGAAAAATACATTATATTAGTGACTCTCAAATTTCTGAACTAAAACTTCTATAAAATTAGAAAGCTAGGTATATTTTACATGTACAATACTCATGTAAGAGTACATATTCATGATACTTTCTATTCAGTTGTCTCAAATGCAAATTTGTTTCTTCACACTATAAAGAAAGTACTTCTCACTGATATAATAATTAATTAAGCAAATTAATTCCAACTGCTTAGTTAATGAACTTGAATTTTTTGCAAGATCTAAAATATGAACATACTTTTCATGTATTTAAAAAAAAAAAAAAAACTATCCCTTAAATTAACAAGTGCAGTGGAAACTTAATCATTCATACCTGTTTAACTGCCAGTTTCTATTATCTGTCGGCCACTCAAACAGACCCAGGAGGCATTATTAATGAATTAAATAAATAAAAATATATAAAAATATGACATAAGTGAACACAAAAATCATGATTTAAAACACAGCATTTGTGAAAAAGAACATTATTGATTTACAACCATATTTGGAAAAGGTTAAATTACTATTTTAAAAAGTATACAGTTATTTCCAGTGTACATACACTTACAGCCCCCCCAACCAAAAATATCCTTCAAATTTGATTACCCATAAAATTTGGTACCAGTAAAATACACATAATATAGGGATGCGGTTTAATTATGTAGTACATGAAGAAACAAAAGAATTCTCTTATGTTCGACTGTGCAATGCATTTTATTATACTCGGTCACCCTGAAAGTTCTGTGGTTTTTGATGGTATGTACAAATGAACCAGTACAGAAATGAGAAAATTCCATTGAATGACATAAACACCATTTTGTTTTATGACTTCTCCATCTCCCTAGCAGCTAGAAAAATGCCTTTTTTAAGAGATTAGTACATTTATTTATAAAGTTATCGAAGTACTATTCAGCAATCTCCATAGAAGTCAACTTCAGGCCATTCACATATTTCTGAGGTGACTTGATGAAAGTCTAAGGAAGTAAATAGGAAGTGACACAAAACATCCCAACTATACTCAATAAGCATTTAAATCATCGAAAATGTACGGTTAATCATTGTCATGATGGAAGACAATATCCCGAAACTTGCTCAGTTCTGGGCACTTTGCTTTGATTTCTGCTTCTAAAACTGATATTCAAGTGAACAGTATTTTTCTGAATTTACTGCCTGATTTGATAGCAACAATTCACAGTATTCAGCTCTACCATACACAAAGCAATACTTCTTTGTGATGCTACCTCCCTCAAAGTTACGAAAAAGCGATTACTTCGGCTTACACCACAACACTTTTCTGATTTTTCATGAAATTATACTGCAACATATGCTAGAATTAAGCAACATGCACAAAAATGACCATATTTAAACATGTGCTTCAAATGAAGGTCATTTCTTATAACCTGTAGTAAAATAATTAGAAGAAAGTGTGTGTCGATTTGAGAAACTGTAATCTTTCCAGATGACCCAATACATAACTTTCTCCTACTATAATATGTAAAAAGTACATCACCACACTATTTAAAATTAAGCTGAAAATGAAAGAACTCAAAATACTTGACGCATCAATTTGTTACTGTCCAATGGAATAAATTAAGCTCAAAATTTATTGTTAATTGCCTATTTTTGGTGGTAATGGGATGAAAGGAATTTCTATCATTAGTCAATTGTTCTCATCTATTACAACAATGATAAAATAATGCTACTTGTCTAAGGTAAGGGATGTTACCAAGGAGAAAAAGCTGCTCATAAACTCACTCAACACATGGCAAACCAAGAAGATGCTGCTGGAACCATCTTGTTTTCTAGGATTTGAACTTGCATCAAACAACCACTCTTTAGCAGTCTTATCACTTAGCCACTGATGGGCTATTACGATGGAGAAATGTGATAAAATTCTTTAAAATTTTTTTGGAATGTATTATGATCTTTTATTGGTTCGAATCATGCCTCCATTTTTTTTTTCAGACAGCATATTTAAGTTTCCATTTAAAAAAAGCATGTAAATACAATTAGATTTTGGTATTAATAATATTATTTTAACACAGATCTTGAAATAACATTTCTGTTCTATGATCGAGCACAAGAATTACCTTATTTGCCGGCATATAAGAACTTTTTTCTTTGAAAATAGATCTGTAAACCAGGGTGCATCTTTTATGTCGATAGTGCTTCTTATACGTCAATATTCATTTTTGATTACATTACTTTCTGGAAATTTCCTCTGTTCGCAGTTACGTGATTTTTTCTTGTTTCCTTGCTTAATAAGGAAGTATTACAGATACATAAAAGTAAGCAAGTATTACAGATGCATAAAGTTCAGTGAATGTGTTGCCATCGACAATCACAGCTGTGTTCGTTTAAACTTTCTAAATTTTGCGAATGACTTTTAAGCGTGTGAAATTTCTACTGTTCAGTTTTCTTACATTTGCTGGCAAGTTATGGCTCAAAAACAACATTGGCATTGCTATAATATAGCATACAAGTTACATGTGATTGCATATGCTAAAGAACGTGGAAATGGGCAGCAGAGAGGCATTTCGGGCCACACCCAACGGAGAAAGTGATAAGAACTTGGCTGATCCAGGATGAGGATCTAAAAAAAGCAACTCACAGTAAACTTATCCTATGAAGTGGAACTGCAAACTTGAGTGAGAGTTGAATACTTGAATTTTAGACCACAGAAAAGAGGGACTTTCAGCCTCTACAAAAATGATTATTCATCAAGCGAAAGCTATAGTGACTGATACAGAGATTGCCAATTTTAATGGATCAGCATCATGGTGTTTAAGATTCATGAAAGAAAACCAGCTAGTATGAGGACTAAAATAGAAATATTGCAGAAGATATCAGGCAAATATGAACAAAAAATTATTGAATTTCATCAATTCATCCTTGATGAACAAAAAGCAGAAAAATTTTCAACACGCACAAACAGGAAACATGGATGAGGTTCCTCCGTCTTTTGATGTGCTCTCGAACAAAACTGTAATTTCCAAAGGTACAAAAAGTGTTACTGTTAAAACTTCAGGTCATGAAAAAAATCAGTGCACAGTTGTTTTATCCTGCTGAGCTGAAGGGACAAAATTGCCCTCACTACTGATTTTTAAAAGGAAAACACTCCCAAAGAAAAATTACCTAAAGGAGTGTTTATACATGTTCACGCAAAAGGCTGGATAGATGGAGGAGGAATAAAGTTACAGATAGATAAAATTTGGTTAAGGTGCCCTGGCAGACTGCTGGAGAAACCTGCCCTACTAGTGTGGGATCAGTTTCGATCTTGCAGATATTAAAAATAAACTCAAAGAATTGAAAACTCAGTTAGCTGCAATTCCAGAAGGCCTAACTAGTCAGCTTCAACCTTTAGATGCCTGCATTAATAAACCATTTATGAAGAATAAGTGGAACAGCTGGATGCAGTCTTCAAATTTTGAGGTTACACCATCAAGATGAAGGAAGAGGCCTAGAGCATTTTGCAAGTTTGTGAATGGGTCAAAACTTCATGGGATACTGTGAAAACAGAGAGAGTGGTTAAATTATTTAAGAAGTGTTGCATTATTAATGCACTGGATGGTACAGAGGGCAATTTGTTGTATGAGAACTCAGATGCTGATTTAGAAGACAAGTGACAATTGATTTAGCTAGGGAGATGAGTGTCTCAGTTTTGATGAAGATTAAAAGTGTTCTTTCCCAGATAGATTGGGTATTTGCAGAAAGAATTACTTTGCATTTGTATTACTCGATATTTAAAATACTGCAAATTCATTATAATGATCAGTAAATAAAGTTTTATACTTCAAAATGTCTATAAGAAAGGGGGTGTGTCTTATATGCCGGCAAATAAGATATATCTGAAAATAAATTTCGTTTAGTCATCCTTCTTTTCCCTTTTAAAATTTCTTTACTTCAAAAAAATATTTTTACTATGCAGGAAAATGTAACAAGCATGTCTAATCATAGACCCATGACTAAATATTTCTCTTTATACCAGTTAAATTTTACTTTTATATTAAAGCTATTAACTCTAAAATTCTTCATGTTTGTAAAACTAAAATTTTAGCCTTAGCATCGCAGAAAGATTTATGAAAAAAAAAAAAAAAAAAAAAAAAAAACCGCTAAGTAAAATGCTTATATATTTACTATAATCTATTCATGATATATTTACTATACTCTATCTTATGAATTCTTGAACAATACATCATTTGAAAAGGTAATATTTTATAATCAATATATGAAGATGTAAATTTGAAGCATATTAAAAAGTTCGACTTTTATAAACAAAAAAAGCAAATTATGTGTCATATATAAAGTTCTAAGATTAGTTATCAGTCTAAAAAAGAGAAATGCCTTTGCATGCAGTTCTCTATTTGAAATTCTCTTGCATTCAAATTATAAGTCAATTACTCAATCACAGAAGACCCAAATTGGGAATGAACTTTTACTGTTGCTGCTTCAGCAATTCACACACTTGCCAGACACCTGAGGAGCCAAAACCTGTTTTGCAGCATTATAGTGTTGGACAGTGACAAATGACAGATGCTCATGAAGAAAAAGCTTACAGGAAAAAGATAAATAAACTGAACTTCACAAAATTTGTATTTGGTGATCACATTTTCTAGCACGGTATTTTCTTTCAAACTGTGCTACACTTTTAATTCTGAAACCTTCTGGAGTCTGACTGTTTTTGCAGTCACATTTCATTAGTTCTCAGTAACATCAGGTGAAACTTAATATACTGAACATCAGAAGAACAATCAAGTAAAATTAAAAAAGGGGGGATTTCTCAAAGCTGCCTTATTTCATAAACTGGAAAAATTTTAGCCCAATGAAGTTACCATCATACCAATACAAGATATTGAGACAAGAGAAATTTCTTGAGAAACTGATAAGGCAAACAATTTCATGCAGAAAAGTGTAGCTATAATGGCTTAATCTACTCTTTGAGCTTATTTTTGAGTGAGATATTGACTGAAAATTGGGAATCAAATAATTTGCAATAATCAAGTTTATTTAAAAAATTTCGATCATCAGGATATTTTTAAACAGCTTTAAATGAAACTTTCCCCTCAAGTATTGAAAATAATGTCAACACTTTTCATTACAATGGGAAAATAATTCTTAGGATTACTTTTCCCAAAAATTCCTCATTCAAATACTGATCCTTTTCATATTAAAAACTGGATATTAAAAGAAATGTTTATAAAATATTTGAATAAATAACACATAAAATGATTCAAGAAAAGCACTGCAGTCAAAATTTAATCAGAATACCAGAAACAAAAATTAATTCTTACATTTACGTCAGTATGATGTATCAACATACAAAGAGCTGGGAGCAATTCTTTTATAGTTTCAACTGGAGGAGGTGGATCTTTACTTCGACAAAGATTCACAATAACCCAGGTAACGTTTCTTAAAAATGGTAAAGGAATTTCTGGTTTGATAAATGATAGTAGCGGTTGAACAACTCCTAACCTTATTACATAGTCTCTAAAATCCGGACCATCACCTGAAAGAAAAATTACCCAGCATTCAGTTATGAAATTAAATGCTAAAATGACTTAATATGAAATCAGCTTATGGGATTAAAAAATTCTTATTGAACTACCCTTCTCACAGAAACATCTAATCATTTACATTGGTTTTCACTAAGATGTTAATGTGTCCCCTTGACGTGAGGACAGAGAGGTGCCCGTTTATGCTGGGCAGGAGAACACATCTGCTGAACCAGTTAACAATAGGTGTCTGTTCTCTTTACAGACGAGTCCAACTTCACATTTGAGAGTGTTTCAGGTTGTCAGCTGACCTGAATGCACCAGATACACCCAATCCCAAATTGTAGAAAGACAGTTAGAGGTAGTGGAATAATGGTTTGGTCTGGGATCTCTCTCACTGGTCACACTGACCTGCATGTATTCCATGGAGCAACTTTGATGAGTGTGAGATATCGAGGAGATGCTTGATAATATGTCTGCCCTTATGCTGCTGCTACTGGTGGTGAATTTCTTCTGATGGACGACAATGTGCGACTGCACCGAGCTTGGGTTGCTGAAGAATATCTTGAGGATCACAGTATACAGCAGATGGAATGGTGAGCTCAATCCCCATAGCTGAATCCAACAGAGCATCTTTGGGACTACCTTGGGAGACAGGTTGCAGCTTTAAGTCCTTCTCCAAGGTTGTTAGATGAGCTTGAACAAGAATTGCTCTATGTCTCATCATTGTTTCTCATTTCACTGACAGACAACTTAATTGACAGCATGAAATGTTGCTGCTGCCAACATATTGCAGCTAAGGTTGGTTACATTCCTTATTAGAACCTATTTTTTGTAATGTTACCACCACATTTTCCCCCAGATAACTGCGACATACTGTTTCTCCAAGACGATTTCTCTGCGAAGAGTGCAATTTTTTGTTGTAATTCATGTTTGTGTTGAACATTAGAAACATTCTGTAACACATTCATTACAGAACTGTTTAATGAACATGTCCTGTAAATTTCTTGTTTCTGTTGCTTCATTCTCAAATTAAGACTAAAAAACATGTTCATTACCTTTTGGAGGGTAGTGTACTTAGCTGTAAGAATTTGGTTATGTCACGTAATGAAAATCCTGCTCATGACATTGCAGTTGAGAGTACAGCGGCTACACCTGTGTTGCATGTTTTGGTCAAATTATTGCCTTCTTGGAAAACAAAACCTGCCTTATGGTTTGCAGATTGGAATCTCAGTTTCCCAATTCCAATATAATTTTGGATTTAACAAAATTTAACCATGGTGTTGCTGCTGTAGACTCTGGTATACTAAATTCGGTTGGTGATATCATTTTAAAACCTCCTGCTACTGGAAAATACAATGCCCTAAAACAGATTGATTTCAGTGCATTCCGAGAGGAAAGCTTTGAAAATTTGTACTCTAGTTCGCAAGGTTTAGACCTAGCGAAACGTCCAAAATTCATTCTCTGTTGCAATGTCTTGAGCTTGGTGACCAGCACCACTTTCAGTTATTACGCACACTTTGGCACTCAGTTATATGCACACTTTGGCAGGTGATATCCTAGGTGAACATTTGCTATTGTCTTTGTGGCTTGCAAGGCGTCCTAATTGTACACTCTATTTTAGTTGCTCTTGTTGAAGCTTTTTTCATTAAATTGGCTACAGTTGCTAATAAGATTAATGAGCTTGCATCTCATTCTTATGTGAATATGGCTATTGTGACCCGAGTCAAGTGAATCTGTTATTGCTGGTTTGAAACTCCAGGTAGCAGAGCTGACTAAACAAGTTAGTGGTTTAACCTTTAACTTCGGACGGAATTCTCGCAGTCTTAAGCATAATTTTTGGATTTGTACTAGCGCAACATGTCACGTGAGCTTATTAACCATTATAGAGTTAAGAAACGAGCTTTGCTTATCATGTAAATTTTGGGCAAGGAAATGTCAATCTCCGTATTCCTTTTGCGAAATTAGCAACCACTACATGAATCGTATACTCTTGGCTGATCCCTCTTCAAAAATATAATATTTAACTGATACTAGAACAGATGTGTTGGTATTACCAAAAAAAATATGCTCCGTGTTCTAGGCCTTCTCATGATTTGGTTTTATTTGCCTTCAATACAATTGCCAAGGCATACTATCAAATTCCTGTTAAGCCACAGAATGTGCCCAAAACAGCTGTGACCAACCCATTTGGATTATTTGAGCTTCTTAAAATGCCATTTGGTTTACGAAATGCAGGTCAAAGATTTATTCATCAGGTACCTTCTGGTTTAGATATTTGTATTCCCTACTTTGATGATCCATTTATGGCTTCAGCAGATGAAAATGAGCATGAAAACCACATTCGCTTAATTTTTGAAAGACTGATGAAATCTTGGTTAAAACTAAATCCTGCTAAATGTGTTTTTGGAAAGTCATTGGAATTATTTCTTGGTTGTTTAATAGCCTCTTCTGGTATTCGGCCCATTCCTGAAAAACTGCAATAATTTCTAACTTCCCTATACCTGTAACAATGTCCGAACTAAAGAGATTTTTGGCAATGCTGAATTTATTTTTTCGATTTTTGCCTAAGCCAGCCAACTACCCAAGCACAGATTCATTCACTTTTTTTTAGATAGTGGAAACAATTACGGCCTTTGAAAAATGCACAACTGATGTAGATAATAAGCAACACCAGGTTACCATGCCACTGGTTAGCGGTTGCCATTAATGGTTGATGCCTCATATGTGGCTATTGGAGCTGTTTTGCACTAACTATATGATAGACATCTTCAACCACTAGCTTTTTTTCTTCGAAAAATAACTCCAGCTGAAACTAAGTACAGCACATAAGATAGAGAATTACTTGTTATCTATTGCACTGTAAAGCATTTTCAACATAATCTTGAAGAGCAAGATTTTACAATGTACACAGATAGCTGTCCTCTAATATTTTTATTTAGAAAAAAAATTCAGATTTTACATCCCCTAGGCAGATGAGACACGAATTACATTGCCCAACTCAGTACTGATACAGAATACATTCCTCGACCAGAAAATACCATGCAATCAGTGAGCTGGATATAACAAGCTTTGCACAGATTTCCGAGTCTCAATAGAATGATTCCAAACTGAGTCAATTACTGTCTACAGAAAGTAGCTCGCTAAAACTTCAAAAGATGAAGCTTTCCTCAGATTTAAACACATACTGCGATGTTAGTGACGACAAGATCCTCCTTTTGTTCCCAATCAATTGTGAAAGGTAGTGTTTGTCTCCATGGACGTTCACATCCAGGTATACGATCAACAAAAAGACTCATTCTCTCTCGTTTTGTGTGACCTTCTGTGTCAAGGGATTGTGTTGCTTGGATTATGATGCTTGCATCGTCTGCCAGAGGTCCAAAGTCATACAGCATGCTCATAGCTCGTTGCAGTCCTTCACTATACGAAGTTAACATTTTGAACATGTGCATTATGATATAATCGGTCCCGTACCACCAAAATAATATTCACTGCATGCAGTTTACCAAATGCATCATCTGCGGTTATGTTACAAATGGTAGTCAATATAAAATTGTTAATCTCGCCAGCAATTAACTAAGTTTGTCTGAATCGTTATCTGAGCATTAGAATTTTAATGTGTATATAAAACATGCATTAAAATCTTATACACCTACAGCAGGTAAGAAAACTGGAGCAAAACTGAAAGTTTCAAAATACATAGCTCAGGAAAAAACAAGAAAAATAAATAATGAGAAATTTGTAAGAACTGCTTTTAGGTAAACAGAAATTTTAAATGCTATACAGTTTCCTATCTTTTTAAATAAAAATAAAGCTCCCAAGTACCACATTTTGTGCTTTCATTTGGGGGTGAGAATTTTGGGAGTCAGAATTTGACCACAATCAGGACAGAATTCAATGTCTGCAAGCGTGCCCGCATGTGTGTCTATATTGGGAGCAGGATTTCTAAAGTGAAAATGACAGCTAACACAATTTATTTTGTGGTTTTTAACACAAAAACAAACTTTTTTTTTTTTAACAAAAAGCAATGTTAGTGGTGACAAGATCCTCCTTTTGTTCCTAATCAATTGTGAAAGGTAGTGTTTGTCTCCATGGACATTCTCATCCAAGTATACTTTCAACAAAAAGACTCATTCTCTCTCGTTTTGTGTGACCTTCTGTGTCAAGGGATTGTGTTGCTTGGACTTGTGCTTGCATCGTCTGCCAAAAGTCCATGCAATCAGTGAGTCATACAGCATGCTCATAGCAGTCTTTCACTGTACGAAGTTAACATTTTCAACATATGCATTTTCAAATGCATATGTTGAAAAGGCATATCCAAATGCATTTTCAACATATGCATTTGGATATAATCAGACCCACTCCAGATTGTGGAAGAAACAAAAAGTTTATTATAATATCATTATAAGCAAGAGGTGTGGCTCTTTCAATTGCTAAGACAACTAAGGACGAAAGCCTTTTTTCTCCCATTGTACTTCGAAGATGAGTTTTCAATCTTCTGTGACATGAAAAGTATCGTTCATAGCTAAGCTGAAGTCACTGGCACAGTCAAAAAAAAAAAAAAAATAATGTTATTAGAGAAAATGTATTTTGTAGATGTTTCTCCCTAAAAAATTCAAACTGTTTTTAAAACTGCAATTTTTCATGTTTTCAGACTTTATGATTGAATAAAACATCCATAGCCCACACAGCAGACCTTTCAGCAAGTTATGGAAATTACATATAGTTGAAACATTCTGCTCATCTTGGTGTACAGGCAGACAACACAGAATTAATGGCAATCGAAAGATATAGGTCATTCTCTTTCAATCTTGTTAGATACCGAATGTATAATTTCAATTATAATTGTAATTCTGTAATATGATTTAGCATCATCGCGTGATTTTTTTTCACCGCCACACAATTTGCTCAGAATTTTATTTCGCCTCTTTAGTTTTGGTCCAGGATAAGAATTTTTTTCACAAAATTCAATCACATAACTCTACACTTTATTAAAAAAACACATCACTGCAGA